TCGTCTTCCGCAAGTTCAAGTGCAAGCTCATCGTCGGCCAGTTCGTCTTCCGCAAGTTCAAGTGCAAGCTCTTCGTCGGCCAGCTCTTCATCTGCAAGTTCGTCCGGTTCAAGCTCAAGCTCTTCGGCCAGTTCTTCTTCGACGAGCTCCTCCGGCGCAAGCTCAAGCTCCTCCTCGGCCACTTCGTCATCGTCGTCGGGCAGTTCTTCTTCCGGCAGCTCCTCGATAACCAGTACCTCGTCGGGCAGCTCTTCCACTGCAAGCACCACCGCGACTAGCAGCGCGTCCTCCACGACTAGCGTTACCCCCAGCGGTACAGGTTTCTATCTCCAGGTCAGCGGCACCCCAGTCAGCGGTCTTCGCGCGAGACAAACTGTCGTCAGGTACCTGGGCTTCGACTCCGAAAGCCGAGGTATCGCGGTGGAAGGCTTGTCGTCTGCGGCCCTGGTGTTCAGGGGCAGCGACGGCACCAGCTTCCTGTCCAACAACCGATTCCTGGGCACCGCGATCAAGGCTGCTTCTTACGTCCAGAGCTTCTTGGGCTTCCCTGAAGGATTTTCCATCTGGGAGCTGACCGGATCGCTCGCAAAACTCCAAGACACCGCCGGATTCTGCTTTGAGAACGGATTTGTTTATGCGTACACCTCGGACGATGAATGCGACGACCCCGTCACTCTTGTCCCCACCAGTAAGTCATATTCTCACTCCCAGGAAAGGGCCTACTGACTGAAACCATCTAGACCCCAGCACGAGCACGAGCACAAGTGCGACCAGCTCTACCTCGGCGGTCTCAACGTCATCTGGTGTCTCGACGTCAAGTTCATCGGGGGGGTCAACGTCAGCAGCTTCTGGTGCCTCTACGTCGACTTCATCTGGAGCGGCGTCAACGTCAACTTCATCCGGTGAGTCTAGTTCGACTTCTTCTAGTGATTCTACCTCGAGCTCCATTGGCACTCCCACATCAACAACTTCATCTGGAGCAAACACTTCTGGGACATCTTCTGGAGCGAGCACTTCGAGTGTAAGCTCGACGGGAACCTCAAGTGCAACCTCCACCGGCACATCTTCCGCATTAAACACTTCTGGAACATCGTCTGGCGCGAGCTCGACCGGAACGTCTTCCGGAGCAAACACTTCTGGAACGTCTTCTGGCGCGAGCTCATCAGGAGCAAGTTCGACCGGACCATCGTCTGGAGCGAGCTCAACGGGTGCGAGCTCGACAGGCTCAAGTTCAACAGCTGCAGATACGTCGACTACAGTCACATCCACTGCAACCCCATCCTCGAGTGCAGGTCAGTCCTCCTCCTCCTCCTCCACCACAGGCCCGCCGACTACATCTGGATCGTCCACGATTTCACAGTCTACCACGACCTCATCAAACGTTGGGTCGTCGTCTACCAGAGGATCATCTTCCGCGAGCTCGTCGTCCGCCATCATTTCGACCACCACCGCTGACTCGTCCACCACAGGTTCATCGACGTCGTCAGGCTCCGCCGGCTCATCGACCAGTGGTCAAGCGACTTCGACTTCGGGATCGGCGAGTAGCTCCACTTCGTCAGGATCGTCAGGGTCGACCACTTCAGGCTCATCCGGTTCATCCACAAGCTCGTCAGGTGCAGGATCTTCAACATCGGGTTCAAATGGCTCATCGACCAGCGGACAAGCGTCATCAACATCATCAGGCTCGGGCGCCTCCACCACGTCAGGATCAGCCGGATCGACAACGTCCTCAGGCTCTGGAAGCTCGTCGACCAGTGGACAAGTGACATCGACACCAGGCTCGGGAGTTTCCACCACGTCCGGTTCAAGCTCTGCTGACTCGTCCTCTGCAGGTTCTTCTACCGTGGGCTCCTCGACATCTAGCGGCGCTGGGGGTTCATCGACCTCAGGCTCGGGCAGCTCAACGACCTCAGGCTCGGGAAGCTCCAGCACTTCTGGTTCGTCAGGCTCATCGACCTCAGGCTCAGGAAGCTCAACGAC